TTTGTTTGTTTGTTTGTTTGTTGATTTCTTTCAGGTGGATACAGCAGTTATCTCCCAAGTTGTGGTTCCTGTTTTTGTTTCTTTATTTTTGTGAAGTCCTGGTACTCATTATTTATTTAAGAGAATGGGAATCACACTGGAAGGTAAGTGGCTCACTACCCAGGGCAGAAAAAATCCAGGTCTGATTGCCTGGGGCAAGTAAATTTTCCTCTTGTGAAAGTGAAAACAGAAGTTCAGTGGCCCTGTGGGCAAGTGAAATTTAGTGTTATTAGTCTGAATGAAAATGTCAGCTTGATACATGTAAATGATAATTTCCAGTCAAAAGCTATTTCAAAACTCAAGACTGCAAGATTAGTTAACCACTGAGTTGAAAGCATGACTTATTAATTAGGAATCCACACATCAAGTATACTTTCTTTGTGTTTGTCCTCTGATTGCAACACTGGTCGCCATGTCAGCAAGTAATATTTAAGTGGGGACAAGTGAAAACTGAAACTTACTAGCCCACTGGACAAGTGACTTTCAAAGAGCCTGCCCTGCTACTGTACACTGTACTTCAGTTATGAATTTTATGTTTAACTCACAGTCAAATATATAGTATTTTGGATGCTTTCAGAGAGGTGCAGTTTTACTTTGCCATAAAATGCCAAGCCCAAAAATTTTAAGGAGCTGTTTTGTGAAAATATCACAAAATCAGCTCTGTCAGTTTTTAGGTTGTCGATTATGTACAGTCAGAGCTCCACCTTTGGCCTCCTCTCCACAGCAGCCACTTTTGTATGTCCCTGTGGGCTGTCCATACATTCACTTCTGTTTTAAAGTCTCTACAATGGCCACCCCTCCACAGAGGCAACGGCCACTTAAGCATGATATGGTCATCATAGTACACCCCTACTTGTACCTCTCCATGAAGGCCACCTCTTGACAACAGCTACTTTTCTCTGTCCCCAATGTGGTCATTGTGGAGAGGTTTTACTGTACTTCTGATGTAACATTTTTCTTTCAGCTTTATCACCAGGTGTATTTAAAGCAATATTTACATTTTTATTTCAGGTTGTAACATGGTCAGAGGCATGTGGACCTGCTCTGGTATGAAAAGTTGATCAAGCTGATTTACATGTAAAAGGCACTGAGCTATATTAGGCCATGTTTTACATTTAGCTACATATCAACCCCAGGCAATATGAATTTAAAATGTTGTTCCATTGTGGTTGCAATCATTTAGAATGGTACATGCATGTAGTACTTACCTGAGTATTAATAATAATAATAAAAATAATAATAATTATAATGATAATGATAATAAATATAATAATAATAATAATAATAATAATAATAATAATAATAATAATAATAATTAGCTCTTATTAACTGAGCTGGAGGTCTGTATGGGAGAATCTTGACTGAGGTCTTGAGTACAGACCGAACGCAGTGAGTCTGTACACAAGCTGGAGGTCAAGATTCTCCCATACAGACCGACTTAGCGCGGTTAATAGGATGTTTATTATATGGCAAAGGAAGAAACTTTAATTTGTTTAATGTAACTGGTTTGCTGACATTTTGCTTGTGAACGGCGATGAACTCAACTTAAACCTGCCGAAATTTGCTCATTCTCTTTACTTTTTTTTTGTCATCAGGCTTTTTGGCACTTCCATAAATGATTGAGAAGAAAATAAAAGAAAATAGTGAACATTTTTGTATTTTAGTTTGCTACTTTTTCAGTGCAAAATGAAACCGGTCTAGGTGCCGGTCAAGATGGGAAAATTTAGACCGTGGTCAATATTGATTTCAGCCAATCAAATTCGTGAATTTGGTAGTTCCCAGTCCTTGTGAGACACAGCCATATGATAATGAATATTAAATACCAGTAAATAATAATTTTTGTAAGAATGTTTGTGATTTATTTTTAATTAACCACTCAAACAATAGGCTGCCTTGAAATTTGTTTGTCGATTACAATGCAAGTTTATTTCACCTTTTCATGCACAGTTATTACATCCGTGTAATGTTCCTGTTGCTTAATAATTTACAGATCATGGTGATGCTTGGAGTGTTGTACATGTACATGGTATCAACAGACTATTCCAGTTCATCTCAAAGACGAAAAGCCAAAACTATTAACAGAAGGTATTAATAAAAATGTTTTTAAAATCATATTGTTAGTAATAGCGGTATATCAAACAAGAAAGACTGTGTTTGATGACATTTCCAAACACTGAGAAGAAAGTCAAAAAAAAAATGTGCAGCAGAGTGTTTTTGAAGAACGTTGCAGTGTTTGGTAATGTGGTCGAACACTGTCTTAAGTGTTTGATATATCTTCTCAACTGCATGTGAATAAAACTAAGGAGAAAATGGAGAAATAATATTCTATGCTAATTAAAATCAGATATCCAAACATCAGCCATCAGGGTCACGTTTTCCTTTCTTTAAACTTGATGAATTATTGAATGAGTTTGAGAAGTACACTGTAATAAGTAAACTCCATACTTTTCATTACGACAATAAAATCAAACCTTCCTCTCAAGAGCAAAAAGTGATTTTTTGTTATTGTGTGCATACAATAATTGCTTGTGTTGAATAGTCTCTTCAAAATGATGACCAGTTTAATATTCTAATTAACAATAATTAGATCATTCGCTCTTGATTTCTATGAGGTGATAGTTGATGAGGCCAAAGGCAGAATCAACTATTCGCTCATAGAAATCAAGAGTGAATAATCTAATTGTTTTAGTAGACTTCTAACTGAAATTTACTTTGAATAATGGTGTCCAATTACTTCTTGATGTATTATTAAACTCTGTGACTCAGAAAGAACACTCTGTTTGAATTGTCATTTGAAATTAAAGTTGTGTGTGTGCGCCATCATTTTTTTCAATAATTTCATTCAAGATTTATAAAGTCAAGAAACCATTAATTTTTTTCTTTTAGTTTTCTCAGGAATTTATATATCCATTTGCGTTGAAATGATCCTTCAAAACTTTGTTAAAAACAAAAACAAATGTCGCCATTTCATAGACCTCTGGCCACTGCACTCCAATGGCTGATAGTATATGGGTAGCTCAGCTAATTAGATTGCAGCATTTGCATTAGTATACTAGTACAATTCTACTAATAATTATAATGAGACTCAATCCAAAACTTCTCTGGTTAAATGAGAATGTGCTGCCCTACATGTATGTATCTCTCATTTGTATAAAAGTCATGGGCTTCAAGCAAAAATTCAGCTTTTAATGGGCATTAAATTACCGCTACTTGCACAATTTTCAAAATTCGGTTGGACAATGACCTAAACTGACTGGTATATTTCCAGCAATGTAATCTTAGGGGCTTACATATTTCATTTCATGTTGAACTCAGAAGACGAGCTGCCAGACAGAAAAGAAAAGGCAGTGCACAAGAGAATGGAGGAACAGTGCACCATGAAGTGCTTGCAGATGGAATAAGGCAAAGAAAACTACAGCAGAACCCCAACTCAGGGCTTGGTACATTTTTTTTTTTTTTTTATGAACTGTTGAATGCACTTTGTTGTTGTTGTTATTATTGTTCTGTGTGGTCGTTTTTTGTTGTTTGTTTCTATGATCAGTATTTTGTATGTGGCTAAATATGATTTAGGCAAAGTTAGACTCAAACCAATGCAGTCAGCAGTTTCCCCTATTACACTACATGACTTGCGGGGTGGCCCTCTGGAGATTTGCAGGGCTGTTGTGTCATGTTGCATTGCACGTACTGTGCTGCCAGCTGATCGTTGCGGATCATTTGCTTTGTATTTTGGCGAATCTTTGCGGATTCTTGCCCCGTCCTGTCCCTCCCTCTTGGTTGCTGGTCCCTAGGTAAGTATGGGTTAGGTAAGTTTTTTCCACTGATTCATTCAGTGTGACGGTACCAGTTAGCAACTGCTTTTGGGGGTGGTTCCCACTTCCAGGGTTGCCATGGATACCTCCCCTTCTGCTTACAGCTTCTGCTCCTTGCTAACCTTTCAGGCACCAGCTTCAATACTTGCATGTACAGTATTTCAATATCAGTTCTTTTTTGAGCGTAAAGGATTCTCAGTGAGTTGCTTAGAACAATGAATCTCAAAAGTATTCACTTGACTGTTTAAAATCTTGATTAGCTCTTTGTTGCACTGAATTAGCTTGCACTGTTTACTTCAAATGGAATAAAATTGACGATTAATTTTTCGGAGATGGTCAAATTCCTGATAAAAAAGTATTGCAATCCGCATTAGTCTGGTGGTGGTGGAAATTCATGCATAATAGGCATTTTTTTACTTTTCTTCCCAGACTCCAATAACAAGGATGCCATGGAAGCTGTAGAAAATATGGATCATTACAATGCTAAAGACAATGACAATGATAAAACAGAGGAAGAACTGAGTGAGAGTGGAGGGACAACTTCATCCACAACAGAGAGTGATGTGTCTGATGTAGAAGTGGACAGTAACGATGAAGATCCATTTGCCTGGGATAAACAGGTTTGCCATTTGTGGAAAGTTTTAAATATTGGAAACTGTAACTTAGTCTTAGGAATTAGGAAAGCCGGGTAGCTTGTCAGTGTCCATGTTTATTTCCAATTTATTGAGCATGTAGCACCCTCCTATACAGGCATGGTGAACTAAATTATCAATGGTCAGTGCATTCAACCTTGGATCGAGCGGTTTAGGTTTGAGTCCTGGCCAGAAACACTGTGTTGTGTTCTTAGGCAAAATACTTTACTCTCACAGTGCCTTTCTCCACCCAGGTGTTAAAATGGGTACTGGCAAATTTAATGCTTGGGGTAACCCTATGATGGACTAGCAGTAGCTTCATGATACACAAACTGGAGATACGTGCTGGCTCGACACTTGGCTCATATGCAGACTAGTTATCTAACCTTTAGTTACCCTCCAATGAAGCCCAATGTGTTCAATTGATAAAAATCTATGTTGGAAAATCCTTTGATAAATCGATAACAATCAATATTTCTTAATTAAATGTTATGGATTTTATAGAATGATCAATTGATAGAAATTGATACTCATTAACCATCGCTGTTTTTATGATTATATCGAAATTCATCATTTTATTGCCCTCAGAAAGTACCGTGTATTGTTGACACTAGTACATGTAGATACAAAACACTGCTTATTCGGAGGGAGTGTCTCAAAAACCAGCTATGTTTTGCCAATGCTCAGCCTATCATCCATTTTTCTTTGCTTCTCATGTACTTCAGTGTTAAGCTTATGGAGACATATGAGTTACCCTTAGGCCCTGGTCTCCCCAGATGGCCTAGCTTGTAATTCAGACTTGATATCCTTGTAGAACTGAAGTAAAGGCATCAAACAGAATGACTTACATGTATATGATACTAAAGCCTTTGAACATATTGTGTGGTTCCAGATAAGATCCAGACCCACCCCAAGGGGGGTTACTGGAAATTCCAAGGGAGAGAGGATCTTGAAAGCCATAGTTTTTTTGTTTTGGGGGGGTGGGGTTCAAGCCAGAAAACCTCCCATGGGAGGGTATGGATATTTTCTGGAACAGCACATTTATTGAATATGTTTTCAGACCAATGGATCTCCAGGACTGGAAAAATGTCCCACACCTCCACCCACTGCAGAAAAAGGTAGAATGTTCACTGTTGTTTAGTTCATTTCATTGCTCTGGTGACATACACGTGCCAACACATGCTTTTTTATAACTAATCAAAAGTTGTATGGTTTCCTCTTTTGACATGTAATACGTGGGTTACAAATTCCTCTTTCTACAAGGGAAAATTGACCATTTCTCATTGCAGTTTTCTTTCTCATGAAACCCTACCAGCTTTGCAGGGTGAACATCCTTGCAGTGGCTACCTTTATAGCAGCCTTTTAGGTCTTCCCCGATGTAGCCAACATTTAACCGTGATTTACTGTCAAGCCATATAAGTATAAGTGTGGAGGTGCGGTGGCCTCATTGATAGTGCACTCGACTTTGGATCAAGCAGCCCGGGTTTGAGCCATTGTGTTGTGTTCTCACAGTACCTCTCTTCACCCATTGGTGTACAAATGGGTACCATAGTCTAATGAAATCCTGGGGATAACCCTTAAATGGACTAGCATCCCATCCAGGGGGGAGTAGAAATATCCCTAGTCGCTTCATGCTGCAGAAACCAAGCTAAGCTCCGTCATGATGGGCCACTTGGCTTGTACGNACCGTGTATTGTTGACACTAGTACATGTAGATACAAAACACTGCTTATTCGGAGGGAGTGTCTCAAAAACCAGCTATGTTTTGCCAATGCTCAGCCTATCATCCATTTTTCTTTGCTTCTCATGTACTTCAGTGTTAAGCTTATGGAGACATATGAGTTACCCTTAGGCCCTGGTCTCCCCAGATGGCCTAGCTTGTAATTCAGACTTGATATCCTTGTAGAACTGAAGTAAAGGCATCAAACAGAATGACTTACATGTATATGATACTAAAGCCTTTGAACATATTGTGTGGTTCCAGATAAGATCCAGACCCACCCCAAGGGGGGTTACTGGAAATTCCAAGGGAGAGAGGATCTTGAAAGCCATAGTTTTTTTGTTTTGGGGGGGTGGGGTTCAAGCCAGAAAACCTCCCATGGGAGGGTATGGATATTTTCTGGAACAGCACATTTATTGAATATGTTTTCAGACCAATGGATCTCCAGGACTGGAAAAATGTCCCACACCTCCACCCACTGCAGAAAAAGGTAGAATGTTCACTGTTGTTTAGTTCATTTCATTGCTCTGGTGACATACACGTGCCAACACATGCTTTTTTATAATTAATCAAAAGTTGTATGGTTTCCTCACTTGACATGTAATAGTGGGTTACAAATTCCTCTTTCTACAAGGAAAAATTGACCATTTCCCATTGCAGTTTTCTTTCTCATGAAATCCTACCAGCTTTGCAGGGTGAACATCCTTGCAATGTCCACCTTTATAGCAGCCTTTCAGTTCTTCCCCGATGTAGCCAACGTTTAACCATGATGTACTGTCAAGCCATATAAGTATAAGTGTGGAGGTGCAGTGGCCTCTTTGATAGTGCACTCGACTTTGGATCAAGCAGCCCGGGTTTGAGCCATTGTGTTGTGTTCTTGGGCAAGATAAGTGCTTTACTCTCACAGTACCTCTCTTCACCCACTGGTGTACAAATGGGTACCATAGTCTAATGAAATTCTGGGGATAACCCTTAAATGGACTAGCGTCACATCCAGGGGGGAGTAGAAATATCCCTAGTCGCTTCATGCTGCAGAAACCAAGCTAAGCTCCGTCATGATGGGCCACTTGGCTTGTACGCAGACTTTACCTTTACCATATAAGTAAGTCAATAAGACGTTAGTTTGGAACCTGAGTACAGTAAGAGTCCTACACTTTCCCTTGAGGGGTGGTCTAAATAAACCCACCCATGAGTTGTCAGGACCCCACATTATTTTCTGCTGGAACGAGGGGAAAATTCTATAAGCAGTTGCAGAATTTTATCACGTTTTCCTCTAATCATTAAAATTTTCCACTCCTCAGTTATGGTTTCTATTTGGGAAGGAAATCAATGTAAAAAGGCTCAGCTGACCCTTATGGAGATCAGTGCCACTATTGCAAATAAAGTGGTAAGTCAATCGAACAATGCTATGGAGGCAAATACAATACTACTGTAATTTGCTGCCAGAGTATCCCATGATAGCTTTTTGAAACAAGGAATAGCAAATTTGCAGGTTGTTGTCATTTGACTACAACTACCAGAACTCCTTTCGTTTTCTCTTTATTATTTTAATTTTGAATTCCCAATGGGGTTTAATAACAATTACCCTAATTAGCATAAGAAACAGAAAAAGTGAAGGATTTGGGATGTTGTAGTCAAATGACACCATCATGCAAATTGCCTATTCAAAAATATGGCTGCTGTATAGGAAAAATGGCCTATTGCTAGCAATATGCTTTCAATGTCTTATGTTTCCTCTTTTGGCAAACAATATATTTTTTTTATGTGGATTAGATTATTTGTATTTAATTGCCAGACATCAATGGGTCTCTGATGTCACTGCAGGTTGAAATTCTAGTGGTCTAAGATTAATGTCATCAAAGGTTAAGTTTATGAGAAAAATAAAGCCCCCATCCCCTCAGAATGTGCATGTGAGATGCGTAAAGGAGGGGAAATCAGTTACATTGCAAATTTTGTTTGACACCGACTTGTATAGGGGTGAGTGATTTCTTGGGGACTGGCACTCACAGGAAGACTGTAATGTGGTTTTAAGCTTGTGCAATTCATCATCTCCAGCAGCAGTTACTTGTGACATTTCCCTGGCATTGTCTGCAAAATAATGCCCTGTTAGATATCCTTTCTGAAGTTCTTCGGGTAACTGACTAACTCAGTTGTAAACATACTTGAACACATTTTAGATGTATAATCAGTGGCGGATCCAGACCATGAGTTAAGGGGGGACCGGGGGGGGGGGGGGG